GGATTAAATTTACGATATACGTTGCAATGTACACGAAAGAATCTACACGGAAAGAATGATTTTACCGTATAGTGTTTAAACATTTGGCCAGATGTAGATCTGAAAATAATTTCGTCGGGACGTCAAAATTATTATACAGGACGCTTAAATATGATGATAAAATTTTTGAAATATTTTATTTCTATATAAATTTTTTATGACGACAGAAGATGGATATTATATTGAGTGATCAAAAAATTGTATTGTAAAAATTACTTTATACCATGATAACACCATCTAATACTCGTCTCACACCAGTGCCATTTTATTTTGATGCTATTCCAAGTTAACGCTATATAATCGTATTTATCGGAGAACTGACGGCTGCATTGGTACCATAGCGGAGCGGCACAAATAAAGGATCAGCATACTTATCGCATTTGCCATTAGAGTTAGACTAGAGTTAGTTGGGACTAGAGAATTACAAGAAGCAGACGCGAGCGTTCGAACGTGCGTACCAATGGCCGTTCGGTATGCAATAATCCGGCGCATATAATGCTAATGCGACAGATCTCTCGATAGAACTCTCCGCGTAACGCTAATTAAACCCGGAGTCCGGGGGATATACAATTATGTGATTCTTAAATGGAAGCCTGGAGTGTGTGGTAATTTCGCGTCTTGAGTTTCTTGATATATCCTATTACGTCGAGCTATGTCGGTCGCGCGCGAAGCGAGAGTCACGCAACTTTTTTTCCCTTCCAGAATCACCGAAAGGCGCGCTTGATGAATCTCCCGCGTCGCTTAGATATTCCCTCGTATCTCGAGATAATTCACTCCTTCAGTTTTCTCTCACAATACTCGCTCCCGTACTTGGAAATATTAATATTGATAATACTCTTTGGTTGGTCATCGTAATTAAAAAGAAACTTCTAGGCATTAATAGCGCAGTTATAGTATATAGTTTCCACAACGTCAAGTGAAGATGACAGCCAGCCGGCACTTTCTATTTATGTTCTCATCGACAGGCTGACGTAAGAATTCATCATACTTTGGGGGCTCCTAGCGAATCGATGTAGTCATTGATAACCCCGTTCGTTTCTCGTTTAAGACGGTCTTCGGCCGTCTCATCGACGCGGAGATCAACGGCGGCGTGGACGTAGATTTGTCTTTATTTGGACTTCCATTAGGAGAGCGAGACGTTGTTTGATCGTTCCCGTTACACGTTTTACGAGAATGGTCCGCGCGAGAAGTACTTTCTAGACACTCGACCGCGGGGTCCACCGGCTGGTCTTCGCCGCCGAGAAGGTCGACGATACATCAAAGGATGTATCGCAGAATGAGCGATTCTTTACGACGCAAGTATCGCCGAAGAATGAATTTGTTCGTCGGATATGAAAGTTTGTTTTCTTAACCACCCCCTACGGCGTGGCGCCGTATTCTCTAAAGTGACCATACCGTACGGAGGAGAAAAAAAAATATGGTGAAAAAAAAATTTCGGTGAAAGAGACGACGCCGACGGAGAGATTTACCGGCGAGATTTTGCGCTTCGACAAATTGTCGGACAAGTCGTCTAGCAGGAAATTAATGACGCGGCTATTTCAGGAGGCGCGCGAGATAAAGCGACGCGGAACGACTCACTTTACTCGTGTAAAGCGTCTTAAGAAAAATATAAGGCGACATCTGCTACAGACGGGATTATGAACGTGGCCTATTCCAGGTTAGGAAAGGTGATGGTAAAATGGGGCGAGGGGGAGGGCGGGGGGGTCATCTTCAACGCTTTAACGAATCCGTGCGGTTATCGTTCGGATAAACCGAACATGTAATCCCACTTGTAACTTACTCGAAGCTACGGGGCACGTAATTAAGTTACGGTATCCGTCGTTTCGCCGCGCGGCGATTTGTATGTTTCTGCAAACGTGTTAATCTCACCCGGGAAATTACCTTGTCTCTGGCGAGATCCGCGATCGGATCGAGGGATCGAGCGCGGATCGCGTTCGCGAGGAGAGAATAGCCGAACGCGAATCGCATTCTTCCTATTTCCGACGAGACGTCGCCGCCTCGCCGTTCTTGCCGGTCGGCAGACCGATCGACGGCCGTGATTACCGTAATTACAATTATAATGGACGAGATCGGGGAATCCAGGTCGCTCGTGACTCGCGCGCTGGAGGAATCAAAGAGAGAGACATTGCCGCTTTCCACGGCGGCGGGAAAAGCGCGGACAGGAAAATTAAACGCGAGCGGGCGTTAATTAATGTCGTCGGTGTCGGCGATGTCGGTCCCACACGATCCGATTGGCGGTTCAGATTCAGGGATGCAACGACATGTTGCGGCATGCGTGCGGGTGCGGGTGCGGGTGCGGCGTGGCGCAGGCAAGAAGACATTAATGAGAGCCCTCGTCACGATCTGACGATACATGCGCGCGTGCGCGCACGGCGGGTGAGTCATGCGGCAGGAAGTCCTTTTTCCGCGGTGCGGCACGGTCGAACACCTTCCGCCCGGCGATCTGGTACAAGGTGAAATCGAGCGAATTCAATCCGCAATACGGAGAAGACTGAATGGTTCGTGAGAAGGAGCCTTTTTTTTTCCTCTCTTTCTCTCTCTCTCGAAATCCGTTTCGTTTTGGAACAATTTCTTTTGCACCGCGGACCGGCCGTCTACGTCCGCCAGATAAGCCGATAGGATAAACTATTTGCCAAGTACGTTGCGAAAATTGCCCTATTGTATCGGTGAGAATGAGATACTCCGAGATAGAACGGATAAAAGTGCGCCAGACAGCCGCGCGCTCGAAGAGCGGATGGTACGACAGACAACGCGAACGAACAACAACGCGAGAAAGATTAGACGCTATTAAATCTTATTCTCCTCTCTATATCCCGCGCGAATCTTTTTTTTTTTTTTTTTTTCTTTCCTCGATATATATCCCCGCGGGGGATATCATCAGCTCGTCGCGATCGCGTGAGAGAGGTCGCCATTTCACAGGGAATTATTCAATGTCGTCTATTATCCGCATACAGAAGAGCGTGTACCACTAACTATCCAATTATCTTCCGATTAAAAAGTAATGCGATAGTTGCGGTACACCGGTGTGTGTCCCGTACGCTCGTTACGCATCACAAAGTATCTTATCTGCGTTATCGGACATCTATCGATGTCAGGAAGTGAACTTTAACTACCATTAACCATGCGGTACTTCCCAATAAAACGATTCGAGCGCTCATCGCTATTGGAAAACAGATAAACGGGACGTAAGGCAGTATTAGTCTATTAATTAACCTTCGAGATGTCGGTTGGATCTTTTTGTATCAAATTAAATTGAATTTCAATCTGATCCTATTCACGCGAATATCATTTCATAAACATTCTTTCTTAAGAAAAAAAATTAATAGATCACACACAGAAAAATATTAATTTCAATAAATCAAGATAAATATTCTCATATACAGGCAAGAATATTGTAATCTTCCTTTAGGCTTGATTTGATTGAATTTGTATTGATGCAACAATTACTTTTGCTCAACTCGAGCCTAAAAATCTTTTATATGAAGATTTTCTTGCTAATATCTAGAATATTATTAATTTGCATCAATATAAATTCAATCAAATCAAGGCTAAAATTTTTCCAAGAAAATTATAATATTTTTGCTTGTAAATGAAAAATATATAATCTGGATTTAAAATTAATTTTTTAATAGTCTAGTTTAATTTTAATCTGTCTGTCTAGTCTAGTTTCTATAGTCTGAAAAGATAGATTTTGAATACTTCAAATAATTTGATTTGTAAGACTAGACTACTTCTTCTTTACACACCGGAGTGCTATAATACATTTGGCCATTCGGGGTCGTCTGGTAATTAAGGTCAGATCGAATTTCCGTACAGGCACCATCGAATCGATAAAGCAATCTTGCGTTTTTGGCTTAGCTCCAGAGAAAGAACTGCGACAATGCACGGGGTGATGACGGCCGTCCCTTTTCTTATTATCCGACATTTCGTCCTTCACGAGCTGTGGTGCCATGTGGATTTTCGCGAGCAAGGGTATTCCACCCTTCAGGCTAGCTACGGGCTAAATCAATTAGGCGTCCGAGGTGGGAAGCGTTGATACAATATAGGAATACGTGACGTTATCTTCTGGTCTTTAGAAGATGAAAAACGACGACGCTCGCAGGATCTCTCAACTACTTCTCTGGATTTCGAAATACAAGAGTTTTTAGAAAAATGTGATTTACATTTGATTCTTTTTCCGAAATAAAATAGGCGTCATTGATATAACGATATATTAATGACATAAAATGTAATTAAATTGGAAGATTCATTTTTCTGCGTCAAATGGAATTGATATTATTAGACAAGACACGTAATTCGCATTTGATCGAATTTTGAGTCGAACATAAATTTACGGCGAGTCGAGAACCACTGATCCTAGATTCTTCGTATCCTGCGAGTGGAGTTTGCCCGCAACGCACGTTCAATAAAGCAACTGTACGCGTCACCAACACACGCGCGTGTAAAGAAGGTTTCGCGGAGAGCCTCTCACGTCGTCCGCAACTTTCGTGAACTCGTATAATGGTGCGATGAACTCGCTGCCGCTTTATCTCTCTCCATGGTACGACGATAAGAATAATTGGACGTAAGACAGCACGGCAGATGAGAGACGGAGGTCTCCGTTGCGTAAAATTGCAGGTCATTCGCAGTCCTCCACTATCAAGCATGTCTACAGTTTTCGATTGCGTAACGTATAAAAAGTCGTCCGGGCGCCTTTTTACGTAATTTTACGAGATTAATTTAATGTATTGTGCGATGAATTATGACGTGCCTCTCGTTTAACTTTTTACAACCTTTCAATTGATATAATTACTTTTTTTTTATTCATATTCGTTCTCCAATCTTGTTCTAATTTCAATTAATCATAATTAATTAAAAATATACTATCCTTTACATTTATTATTTGCGTTATAAAACGGATCAATTTAAAAAATTCAATTTTGAAAAGGAAAAAGTGTCAAATATATTTTTTCCTGTTACAGACTTCGTGATGCCACCGCCGTATCATCGACATCGTTAGCGGCGGGCCTTCGCGATGGCCTCGATCTTAGGAGACGGAACGGGCCCCGGAGGCCCCGGGCCCTCCCGATGCCTCTTGCTCCTGCAGAGGTCCCTGGCGATTCAGCTGATCCGAGGATCGGCTCCTCACGTCACAAACGCCGGCCAACGGGAAAGTCCGAAGGAACATCCAGCCGACGAGATGTGGATGTATGACAAGGGCTACAATCTGTTTCAGGTGAGTCGCTCGTTATCCTCGTTAATAATACCGTTGACATCTCTTCGTCGCGTCGCTCTCTTGCGAGTTCTTATTCTTGTCGACGAACAATATACGCGTGTTTGGTATCTCGGCGAACAGCATCGTGGCATCTTTTTTACTCGCGGAAGATCGTCGGCGCCGGCAAAGTTCAGCGGAAACGGGAACGCCGGAGTTGTGCGCGACGTTGCGACGGCACATCTCCGCCGACTCTATTCGTGTCTTTTCTGCTTTTGTTCCCTCCTTACTCGTTGAAACGCGCGCGCGCGCGCGCGCGCGCGCGGGTCCTTTACGGTAAAGCGAACGTTGATTGCCCGCACCGTTACGCCACAATGAGACAATGTGAATTACGAGCAATTTCGCAAAAGTCGGCATAATCGAGGAGCGGCAGGTTAAACAGCGGAAGCTCGTTCTCGCGGCCGGCATTGCGCGGGCCGCGTCATCCCGGGGCCCTTCGACGATAAATTTCGCGTTTTACGTTCGGAATTCCTCCCGCGGATGAAATAAACGGCGACGGCGACGGTGACGTCGGCGGCGCCGTGCGCGCCGTAACGCGGCTCGTCTCGAATTTATCGCCATCAATGCGTAACGTGTAACCACTGAATATTCAACGGCGGTCTACCGTCTGGTCCGGAATTGTATTAATGCTCGCGCCGATATGGCCAATCGCGACGGAGAAGCGCATTCATATAGACGGTGTTACGACTATCGACTATCGACTCGGGTAAGAATTGATATAATAACGAATAAATCGTTATTATAAATTGTTTTAGAAGAGAAAATTTGTTTGAAAAATTAATATTGTTTCCCTTTTGGATGTAATCGCGAGGTAGGCAAATTTTATTTCGCGAAATGGTGACGAAATAAAATTGGAACGTGACTGTCCGCAATAACGAAGTGCTCTCACTTTTCAACGAGTACGTACTTGGCGGAGAAGCATCCTTGCGGAAAAGTCAACGAGCGAGCCTCTCGCTCTTCGCTAATAATAAAGGACGTCGATAACGGTGACAAAGCGACGGTGTTGAACCATTGAATGTGCAAGAATAGCGTTTCTTCGGACTCCTCAGCGACGACCTACTCTCGGGGCATTCGAAAATGTGAAGCACCTTTGAATCGGAACTTTTAATAATCAATTTTATTATATCTTTGTTGACAAATCTGACACATCTACCCTGACTGTCTGATGAATCAAATAACACGCAAGAAAATAGGGACACCCCGTATATAAAAGCAGGAAACTGCGTTGAACTGCGCTGTACGAGAGAAGATATAATCTCGAGGTCGCAGAGTGAATTAGATCGACATTCTATAATTGTTAAGGCAATTAGACGTTGCAGAAATCGTTCTATGTATGTTCTATCGATATTGTGGTTCCGCGTGGTTTCGCGCTATGTATTGACCGCTTCATCGATGTCGGCGGATAATAATCGATCGACGAAGATATGATCGCTTTTCAACGGAACGATCGTCAAAAGCATCGCAGCGCAGATCGCATCGATACACGTTGTTCGGAACGTTGTATCCGACCTTTGTATTCCGTCGATTAATTTTATCCAAAAGGGAAACGTTAAATGAAATTCTGCGTTGGCTTTCTATCAGTTAATACCAACAACAGCAATTGACAAAGCGAGAGATATCAAAAAGAAATAAAACAGC